GTCTCACATACCATAATGGTAGCTACTTTGCTAATCTGAATCCATACTAATATTATAAATATGAAAGTGTGTTTGTTTGTCTGTCCTTCTTTCACGTCGAAACGGAGTGACCGATTGGTGTCATTTTTTATGTGGAGATAATTGAAGGGCTGGAGAGTGACATAGGCTAGTTTTTGCCGCGGGAGAGTATCTATTCCCACGGGAAAATACGCTATAATATAATCCAAACAAATATTTATGATCAGAATTACTTGAAACTTGGTATTAATATTTATTGCTCTTCAATAAAATTAAATAAATACGTGTTTTAGCATTTTTCGAAATTCATCCTATAAGGGGGTAAAATAGGGAATGAAAGTTTGTATGAAACTACCTTTTTAGAGACTTTTTAGTAGTTTTAGCGCGAGTGAAGCCTCGGGTTTTTTTAGTATTTTATGAAATTAAAAAGGCTGGATCAAGTTTGATGAAATTTAGATAGAGACAGACTGACCGGATGTAACACTTAGGCCAGCGTTTCCCAATATTTTTTGGCCACGAAACCCTAATTGATCATATTTTTTTTAACGGATCCCCATTTCGATAATAACTTAACTGATTGTGAAACTTGAAAGAACAAATAATAAATGAAAAATATTACCTAGTTCTTATAATAATATTTATATTACCAAAAATAAAACCTAAGTATTTAATATTATGAATGTAATATGCACTACAATTAGGCTTCATGTCTGATAACGTTTTATTTAACTCTCGAATGGAACTCGGAACTCTTTTTTTTGATGACGCTGGGGAAACCCATCATGGGGACCCTGCTGGCCGTCAACAGGTAGGGTACTGTGAGACTCTTACTCACTAAAACCCACAGCGGAACCCGTCTCCGTAGTGCTCACCCCTGCGGAACTCGGAACCCCTGTGACCCTTCCACGGAACCATCGGGTTCTGCGAACCATCGCTATGGGAACCGCTGACATAGGCTACTATTACTAATAAAATTTACCATATTACACATGGCGCTGTACTGTATATAATATTAAAAATAAAAATCTTATAGCTTCACATTTTATATATTTTAAATTTTATTATTTTTAATTAAAATGCGATATGTCTTTAACAATACACATACACAAAGCCCACATTCAAATCGATTAACCTTTTTTGAAGTCGATCAAAGAGCAACAGCCATATTTGATTTTTCACCCAACAACAGATAAAAAGTTCAATCATTTTAGGCTTATGAAAATCTGCCTAGAGTCGATTGCTTTCACAATAAATAAGCGCCAATAAATATTAATAATGTTGCAACTTACCAGAAAATATAAGAGTAACTTCGATTATCGCGCACGTTAGCAACACCGCCATCGTGACACTTATTAGTTTAACACTTTTCACTTAATCAACATATCAACATACACTTTAATTTTTATATAAATTAATTATTAATAATAAATAAATATAAACATACGTTTATCTTCGACAGAAGGTCGAGAGTTAATGGACTGTAGACAGTGGAGTGGAGTCCGATTCACAAACAAATTCTTGAAACCGTGTCGTGTCGCGGAAAACCCGAATGCTTTTGATTCTCTGTCTCCCTCTAACATTAACAAGTTACAAGTATTTTTTAACTTACAGCTAAACTGTTAAATACTTAGAATTAATAATTACAATTTATTCATAATCTATACATATAATAAAATTCTGTGTCGAATCTGTACATTAAATATTTTTTGGAAAATCTTATTGAAATTATTATCGATACAGAAGCCGAATCTATAGTTTTTAAAATTTTCATTTGTCTGTCCGTCTGGAAACGCATCACGAGAAAAAAACTGAACAAATTTTGATGAATTTTGGTATAGAGATAGATGGGACCATGAAGAAGGGCATAAGCTAATATATGTCATGAAAATCAAACTTGAAGGATGTGATATGAAAGTATGAACATCCTGTATTTTTCTGGTAGAGACATAAAGATGAGTTATATAATATATTTATCTATACAAATAAATAAAATTGAAGTGTCTGTTTGTAATGTCAAAATAACAACTTTTTACTAAATGCATATGGAATTATATACGGTACTTATAAGAGAAATACATTTTTTTTGTCTGTCTGTATATTCCGGATAATCTCTGAAGCGGCTGGACTAATTTTGACGGGACTTTCACTGGAAGATAGCTGATGTTATAGGGAGTAACATAGGCTACTTTTATTTTAGAAAAAGAATTAGGGTTGCACTCAAAAAAATTAAAACGTACTTAGGGAGCGAAGGGAGGGTAAGTCGCTAGGCTTTACATAGTATAAAATGAAGTCGCTTCCGCTGTCTATTCGCATCTTTTAAACTACTCAACGGATTTTAATGTAGTTTTCAGCAATAGATAGAGTGATTCAAGAGGAAGGTTAATATGTATAATACATGCATACTATAGTATAGAAAATCCGAGAAATTCAAAGATTTGTATTTCATACTTACCGTTAAAACGTACCTAGGGATGAACCCGAGCGAAGTGAAGGAAAGTGACTTGTGTCTTTAATGGAAAAATTGCTTGTAAAATATAAAAGGTGATGTTTTATAATGAAGATCACGAGAAGCGAGTGTGGGAGTATTATAAATGCAAAAGATACCTAAATACGTAAAGAAACTACACGACTGGAGCTAAAAACATTAGTTAACAATAAAATTGCCATATATATAAGAGAACTAGCTAGGTTGATTCCACATACAAATTTTCATCCCCTTAATCTCTTAAGATGATTTCCGGGATAAAAAGTATCCTATGCCCTTCCCGAGATCTCATACTATCTTCTTACCAAATTTCATCTACATCGGTTCAGTATATCCAGAGATTACCTCCTACAACCTCACAAACTCATAAACTCACAAATTTACCTCTTTATAATATTAGTATAGACTAAGGATGCGCCCGAGCGAAGCTAGGGAAAGTAACTAATGTTTTTAATGGAAACATTAATTATCGCCACGTCACGGTTACTGTACATCACTAGAAATCTCAGTCAAGTTAAAATATAGGTAAAGCACGTATATAATTACTATTATAAATATTGGTCTCTATGTGTGTTTTCAACCGACTTCTTTTAAAAGGACGAGGTTCTCAATTCGGCTGTATGTTTAGTTTTTTTTATGTTTGTTACCTCAAAACTCCGTCATTTTTTAACCGATTTGGACAATTTTTGTTTTTTTTTTGAAAGTGTATACTTCCAGATTGGTCCCATTTAAATTTCAAAAAAAAATACCACCCCTATAGGTGGAAAAATAGCTAATGATGAACTTTACCTATTTCTGATTGTCATATTGACTTGAAACTTTGCAAGTGTTTCTATCAATGCCAGTCGATACAAATCAAAGCAACCGACTTTGAATATATTTGATTAGGTATGTATATTAAATGAAAATTACTTTTAGGGTTTTTTTCGAAGTCAGTTTTTATTATTATTTTTTAAGTTATTATGTATGTTTATAACTCCTGAACGCTCTAACGGCTGAACCAATTCGGATGGAAATTAGTGAACAAATAGAATGAATAATAGGCTACTGTTGATATGAAAATAAACTTTATTCATAAGGACTTAATAATGTTTAGCATCTAAGTCTGTATTTTTCAATACTCTACAGATAAAGGACACATCCATTCTTCTTCTTAAAGTGCCATCTTCTTTCGAAGGTCGGTGATCATTAAGGTGACTTGTATCTTTGATGCCGCAGCTCTGAATAAGGAACGGGTGCTTTTTTCAAACTATTGGCGTAGGTTTTTTAGCCAAGATGTTCTTCTTCGACCCACATTTCGTTGTCCTTGGATCTTTCCTTGTATGATGAGTTGTAGTAGGTCGTATTTTCGGTTTCTCATTATGTGGCCGAGATATTCAAGCTTTCTTTTCTTTACTAAGTATAAAACTTCAGGATTTTTCTTAGCGCGACTTAGCACGGTTACGTTTTTTATTTTGTCTCTCCAGGATATCCTTAACATTCTCCTGTATACCCACATTTCGAAGGCTTCGATCTTCTTACAGCTCGATTCTGTGAGGGTCCATGCTTCAACGCCATACAAGAGAATGGAGAAAACATAACAGCGTGCTAATCGTACTCGGAGCTGGATGTTCAGCTTTTTATTGCACAGAAGTGACTTAAGCTTAAAGAAAGCATTACGGGCTTGTTTAATGCGGCACCTTATTTCAATACTGTGGTCACCCGTATCATCAACCCAGCATCCCAAATATTTGTATTTGCTAACTTTTTGTAGAGGTTGTCCATTACATAGTAGTGTAGAGTTAGCAGGTGGTATTTTACAAACTGTCATGTATTTGGTTTTCTTGGTGTTGACACTAAGGCCATACGTTGAACTAACAGATTGGATTTTATCTATAAGGATCTGAAGTTCTTCCATTGTAGATGCAAGCAGTACAGTGTCATCGGCATAACGGATATTGTTTATAATCTGTCCATTCACTGTAATACCTATATCCATCTGATCCAATGCTTCACTGAAAATCATCTCTGAGTATATGTTAAAAAGAATTGGCAAGAGAATACATCCCTGCCGTACTCCACGTTAGATTTCCGAATCATCTGTTAGTCTGCCCTCTATACTTACATTCGCCGATTGGTTCCAATATAGGTGTTTAATAAACCTTACGTCCTTAGAGTCGAGCCCGATGGATTGTAATATATCGACCATTTTTGCATGCTGTACCCTATCAAATGCTTTTTCATAATCGATAAAGCATACAAACACATCTTGATTTATGTCCCAGCATCTCTGTATTAGGACTTGATACCCGAAAAGTGCATCTCTCGTTCCTACGCCATTCATGAACCCAAACTGTGTTCTTGAAATGAGGTCTTCACATTTACTATAAATTCTTTTATGGATTACTTTAAGGAACAATTTTAGGGTGTGCCTCATTAAGGAGATGGTTCTGTACTCGCTGCATTTCTTTGCAGAAGCAACTTTGGGCCAGGTGACAAAGGTGGATTAATTGGATTAATTAAGCCAATCCGATGGTATGACGCCCGAATCATATATAGTGTTGAATAACTTTACTATTATTCCTAAGTTAGCATACTCAATCACTTTCAACAGTTCCACGGGTAATTCATCACCGCCTACAGATTTTCCTGACTTGGACATGTTAATAATGGCATAAGCAATTTCACTTTTATTAATTGGTGGTCCAGTTAACTCACTTCCACATGAACTTGATTCTGGAGCAGGGCTAACGTCATGGAATAGTGTTGTTATATAATTTTGCCAAGTATGAAGTTTATCTTTAATTGTTTTAGCAGGATTTCCCTGATCATCCAGTAAAACGTTACAGTTCATGTTTCGTGTTTTAAAAGTACCCGTTATTTCCCTGACTTTCCTATGCACATTAAAATAATCATATCTGGTCTCAAACTCTTCTATCGCAATGCATTGGTCAACCATCCATTTTTCTTCCGCTTCAAGTCTTTTGTTTGGATTAACTTGTGTATGTATTTGTATTGTTGATCGTCTACTCCTTTGTGGGTTCTGCGCTGTTCCATTAGGCTTAAAATCTCCTCAGTGATCCAGCGGTTTTTTATTTTACATTTTAATGGTTGGAGAATTCTTTTACCAGTATTAACAAGCTTTTCCTTTAATTTAGTCCATGTCTCTTCTACGTCAACATTAGGACCAAGTTCTTTGTTCAAGCGGTCAACAGCCATATTTATTTCTGTAGCTGTTTTAAGCCGTATTTCCGGTTCTTTAAGTCTGGTCACATCCATTTGTTGTCTTTTTGATTTAGGTTTTAGAGTTTTCATACTACAGCGAAGGGATGCAACAACCGGATTGTGATCAGATCCAATATCGGCGCCTGGGTAGGTTTTAACTGATGTTAAACTGTTGCGATATCTTTTGTTTATAAGAATATAATCAATTTGATTACGGACGATCTTCTTCGGTGAATGTAATGGTGAAGTCCACGTATACAATCTTCTTGGAGATTGCTTAAATTGGGTGTTTGAAATAATAAGCCCGTGTTCTTCGCAGAATTATAAAAGGCGGTCACCGCGATCGTTTCTTTTTCCCAGAAGTAGATCCAGTCTCAAGACCCGAGACCATGGTAGTGTGTATTCCGGCTTGTTTTGTACTACGTTTTTCCCGCGGATTTGCTCGGAGCGAAAATAAAAAGTAGCCTATATCCGTCCCAGCGATTCAATATACGTTCTAGCTAAATATTATCGAAATCAGATCAGCAGTTTAAGCGTGAAAAAGTAACAGACAGAGCTACGAGTATCTTCATATTTATAATATTAAATAAATATTTTGGGACATTAGCACACAGCACCATCTAGTTCCATGGTAAGCTACGAGGCCTGAGTTATGGATACCAGATAGTTGATACACTACACATAAATAACTTTAAATACATACATATTATAAATATAAACACCCATGACTGGAGTACAAACATTCGTGCTCATCACACAAATGAATGCCCCCAGCGAGACTCGAACCCGCGACCGCTGGCACAGCAAGTAGGGTTACTACAGACCGAGCCAAACGTGTCGTCACAAGATAACAATTACAGCCTAAAATAGTATTTTATTTAGCTGTTTTATAATACCATTTGTGTCGTCATTCCCATATTTGATAAGTGATTCAATATGTGGAACTTTGTACCTTTTTAAATATGAGTGAGAGGAATGTTTGTTAACTTTGTCATAGTTAAAGTTTGTATTGAGAAGGACTGTAGCCTTCTTTTGCCCGCAACTCGCGTAGTTTATACATATTATGTACTAGCACTGCCCGCGGCTCCGCCCGCGTTCAGATGACCAAAAACCTAATTCTTAGGTTTTACATATTAGTATAGTCTTACATTGCAATTTTTGTATTTTTTCTCAGAGATGAGATATTTTCCCGCGGTAATAAGTATTCTATATGTTGACCCGGATAACCAGCTATGACCATACCAAATTTCATCAAAATACCTCCAGTGGTTTTACTGTGATGCGGTAACAGACAGACAGACAGACAGACAAAAATTCTAAAAACTATAGATTCGGCATCTGTATCGATATAATGTTTATTTCAATAAGATTTTCCAAAAATTTTTAATGTACAGATTCGGCTTAGTTACAATTTTATTATATGTATAGATATATGTATAGGTAATTGTCTCGATGGTCCAGTGGCTAGCATGTTAGGTTATTTTTATCTTATTTCTTACTGATATTATAAATGTGAAGGTTTAGATGTTTGGATGTTTGTTAGTTAATCACGTCAGAACGGCTGAACGGATCTGGATGAAATTTGGCACAGAGATAGATTATAGTCTGGAATAGCGCATACGCTACTTTTTATCCCGGAAAAATGTGCGGTTCCCGTGGGATAGATTTGTTTTTTTTTTCGCTAGTGATTCATATTTAATTCCCAAAAATTGTACATTTTAATTTATCTATACATATGTACTCGTATAATAAAAGTGTAACTGATCGCTTTCTGTACATGGAAGATATTTGAGAAAAACTATTATTGAGGGTCTTTATTGACGTAATAGAACCCAGAACAATAATTTTTAGAATTTTTGTCTGTTTGTCTGTGCGTTTGTACGCGCTGATTTCAGAAACGGCTTGACCGATTTGGGTGCGGTTTTCGCTAATGTATTGTTGTAAGCTTCACTTAACATTTAGTATTTATTGAATATCAAACGATTCATAAATAAAAAAGTTAATAATAAAATTGAATTGAATTATCATGCTTTAGTCTGAGACCTAACCTATATATCTTCTGGAAAGTTTTATCAGAATCTGTTTAGCACTCTTCACTTAGAAGAGTAAAAAACATACATCCTCACCAATATAATACGCCTCCGTGGTTAGTTTCCGGGAAATCAATGCGATGGGAGATGGATTCGACCTTTCAAGCGTTAACAGTAATTTGCGAGCAACGCCGCAGACATAAACTAGTTATAGTTCTAATTCTCATTTATTACTCATATATATTGTAACTACGTCTCACTGACGCCATATGCGCAAGCGCATAACTTATTTAAAATTATTTTATAATATTTAACAATTTTATATTTTGTGCGGTTTGCCAATGATTGGCATTTTTAACTGATTTATTGAGCTTTTATTAAACTGATATAAATAAGTAAATGATAATTATGACTAAAACATGAAAAATAAGTTTGTTTTTGAAAATCATGTTTACTCGGCAACATTATCAAGGGATAAAATTATTAAGAACGAAAACGATTCTCTGTTAAAAGTTTATATTTAACTAGCGACTCACCCTCGTTCCGCTCGGGTTTGTCTCTAGTTACGTTTTAACGTTTAGTATAGATTTCTCAGAGATGAGATTTTTCCCGCAGTAAAAAGTATCCTGTATAACCCGGATAACCAGCTATCATCATACTAAATTTCATCAAAATCTGTACAGTGGTTTCCTCGTGATATATTCCTAGACAGACAGACAATAATTCTAAAAACTATAGATTCGGCCTCTTTATCGATAATAATGACTATCTCAATAAGATTTTCAAAAAAAAAATTAATGTACAGATTCGACTGAGTAAGAATTTTATTATATGTTATATAAGTTTTAAAATAGTATACAAATGACAATTTGCATACTGAGTGTTAAATAAGTGTTAATAAATAAAAATAGCTAACAGATTTTTATTAAAATAAAGGAAAAAAAACGCTTCAAAAATAACAAATAATCGAACCCACATCTACCTATAGTGTGAACACGTCGAAATTCGTATCGTCCGGACGTATTTAGCCTACATATATTGCGAGTTCATTGGCATATTATCATCTGTTATGTACTCCAAGGTCACTACGCTTGAACCTACCTCACGCGCGCGATTGAGTTTCAAAATTGTGATTTTTCATTCATCGTCTGTGGTTTTAGTTGAACAGATTTTGATGAGAATTATTATATTGTATAGATTATCTAGAAGCGGCTCACCCTCCATTCGCTCGTCTTCGTCCCTAGATGGAAACAAAAATAATTCTATTCCACGGGAACCGTACATTTTTTCGGGATAAAAAGTAGCCTATGTGTTATTCCAGACTATAATCTATATCTGTACCGAATTTCATCCAGATCCGTTCAGCCGTTCTGGCGTGAAAGAGTAACAAACATACTCACAAACTTTCATATTTATAATATTTATACAGATAACACAGTAAAATTAAATAATATGTATAATCGACTTAAGGCCGTTTTCACCGACGTCACCTAAGTTTAAGGGATCCCCTAAGCATGGTTAGGGGGCTGTTAGGGGACAGTTTTTGTTTCACCGACAGTTAGGGGTCACCTAAATATTAAAAGGAAATAAAGGAATAAATATAATAAATAAAGGAAACGAAATATGGCCCTTAAAGACGATCGTAAAACGAAATTTAATTTAGGGGTTATTTTAGGGGAGTTTTAAGCTAGGGATCCCATACGTAGGTGGTACCTTATGGGTTATTGGTGAAATCAGGCATTAGAGTTAGGTACTCAAATGACTCAAACGGCAGGCGCGTTATAACGTTACACGTTATTGAACGCCGTGAACGACGTGCGATATTCACCGACAATGTTCTAATCTTAATCTATCTGTTATATCACACCGTTCGTATTCAGGGGGGCTATTGTGTGTTTTTGTAACTTTTTTTTTAATATTGGGAAATGCATTTGCGTATACCACTTGTAGAGATACAGGTGGTTATGTGGGACTTACCGGCTAGAATAAATATAAAATAAATATAAATTAAAATATTTTAAATTAAATATTAATTTATTAGGTGAAATTTTATTTTAAGTAAATTTTATTTAAAATTTATGATTTGTTTTTATTATAAACTAGGATTAGATACCCTCCCCCCCAACGTGCGTTCACCTTGTCGTGGTGGGGGGGCTCAGTAGTGCCCGGCAACCCAACCGGGCGCGAAGCCAAGAAACGCACAGGGAGGTGGCCCACTTCGGTGGGCGGAGCGAGGTGGCCCTCTTCGGAGGGCGGTGTACCATGCGGGTTGCTCCTGGTACTTCTCTGATAGCAGAGTGGACCTTGGAGCAACCCCGTGGTTGTGGTAGTCTGCTTCGGCAGACCTGCCGTCGGGGCGTCGTAGTTGAATGCGTAAGCGATCCTGCGACGCCCCATTAAGACGGGGGAAGGCTTTGTTGGGTTTTAGTGGGTAGTACTGGCTTTGCCGGTGAGTCCCACACCTCGTGCGTAAATGCATTTCCCAACGTTAAAAAAAAAAGGATTAGATACCCTATTATTAAAAATTTAAATTTAAATATTAAAATAGTAAATAATACTAAAACCCAACGGAACCTCCCCCGTTTCAATGTGGCGTCGAAGGATCACTTATGTATTTTTCTTGTCCCCACGTGTTTCTTGTTACCCATCGTAAATTAAATCTCTTCTAAATCCAAATATTATCTGGAAAATATCACTTATTTTTTTTTATTTCCATTCATTTTCAATAAGTTGTTGAACTTTGACTACAATTTTTAAGTTTTAAATATAATTGAAAAATATTTTCAAATCGCTAATTTAACATGAATTATTAAAATTAATTAACAAAACAAAAATATATACATTTTGTTTGATTTTGACGACACGTTTGGCTCTGTTTGTAGTGACCGTGTACGCTGTGCCAGCGGTCGCGGGTTCGAGTTTCGCTAGAGGCATTCATTTGTGTGATGAGCTTGAATGTTTGTTCTCCAGTCATGAGTGTTGTTTATATTTATAATATGTATGTATTTAAAGTTATAATATATGCGTAGTGTATCGGCTATCTGGTATCCATAACACAAGCCTCGTAACTTACCATGGAACTAGATGGTGCTGTGTGTTTATGTCCCAACATATTTATTTCTATGCTTATAAAATAATTATTACTATAAGCAAATAATTACTATAAATATATAGACAAAATTTACACAATAAAAAAAAACACAAATAATGATCCAGAGAAGAATATCAAAAACTCACCCAATAATATGAGCACACGATACACAAACATTTTCCCAACACTTACACAAAAAATAAATTGTTACTTTACACAAAAATTAGCACTTTCTATTCAAATATTTATATTTTCAACTAGCATGAATGGACTAAATCGCTTCAAAGCGTGGATGATTGTAAGTAATGTAGGTACGCCCGACGCATTCACGAGTTACTTTGAGACTGATTCGCGTTGTAAAAACTGCATCTTATATACATACATAGGTATACACGACCACGTGCTATGATGGAGGCGCACAATGTAGAGACGGCATTAATTTTGGGGTAGTTACCAAAATATTTAAAAATAAAATCGTAAATATTATATTATAAATATAAGATATATTATAAATCTTATATGTTATACATCTTATATGTACATTTATGTTATAATAATAATTAATCATCAAAACATATAATAACATTCTAACTGAGTCGAATATGTAAATATTTTTTGGAAAATCTTATTGAAATAGACATTATAAAAATTAAAAATAAAATAAAAAAAATATTATCGATACAGAGGCCGAAACTATAGTTTTTAGATTTTTTGTCTGTCTGTCTGTCTGTGACCGCATCACAAAAATAAAACACTGGACAGATTTTGAGAAAGAGGAGCTCTTATGTTAATATTTGCATATGCACGCATGTACACAATACACATTCATATTTTATACACTTTATACATTTTTATATACAAAATTCAAAGTCCCGACTGCCATATATATTAACGGACAGCCTAAGCCGCTGGTCCTAGGGATATGAAATTTAGAAGATGTGTTTTTTGTGAAGTATATCCATTAAAAAAGGGATTTTTGAAATTCCACCCTAAGAGTGTGAAATGAAGGGTTGAATTTTCTGTAAAACTTTTTATTCTCTGGGTCGATTGCCTCGAAATTTGGTACACATACTCTTCAATTCAAATTATGACACAAGTGTATGATGACAGTTTATCCAAAATTATACCCCAACAGCATCAAATAGGGCTTCGAACATCCTATACGGCATGGTGACATGGCATGGCGCGAGGGTGGCGCAGGGCGTGCGGGGGAGAAAAACTTTATTTTTTCGTACATTTAACGCGAGTGGAGCCGCGGATTCTGTCTACAATATTTTAAGATATGAATAACTAATAGGTAAATATGTAATATGTATGTATTTTATGAATCGAAATATATTAGATTTGCTTTGCATCGGCTGGCACCGACTTCGAAAATATCTGATTTGGTATCTATTCTAAATGAACGGAGGTTCCGTTTAGTTATTTTTCACATTTTAGTGCCTGGAAGTCGGTTTTTATTTTTTGTTAAAAAGATTTTTTTTTATTTTTGATTCCCAACGTTTCGAATGCTTTACAGCAATCATGGACGTGGGAGGGACTAAGGTTATAGACGTCTCAAATACATATATTTTGTTACAGACAGTGTCTACCCACTATTTTACAAAAATGATTTCAAAAATTCAAAAATGGCACCAAAGTACCTTATAATGTGTTGATTTTTATTTCTAAACATTCATTTTTTTATAATTATTATAATTAAATATAGCAATATTCTTTATTTAATTTTCTATTGTATGAAATATGCGAGACAAGAATACCTTCTCGTTTCAATTATTTTTGACCATAACTGTGTCACGACCGATTTATTATTTTTGACCATTTCATTTTTCTTATTATTCTTTTTTTTTAATAAATAGATTATACCTTAAGCGTAGTCCCATCTAAGATTTCAAAAAAAACCCTCCACCATTTAGGGTACAATATTTTTTTTTTTAGATTTTGTGTACCAAAGGCCAAAACAGAATGAAATGTTGAGTTCAACGACTTCGAGAATAGCTGATTAGGTATCTATTCTAAATGAAAAGCCCCGTTTAGTTATTTTTTACATTTTAGTGCCTGGAAGTCGGTTTTTGTTTTGTAAAAAAAATTTTTATTTGTTGTTTTTTAGTTTAGCATTTCGTATTTCAAATTACATTTAAACATATAACCTGTATATATTTTTGTAAGCCATTTATTGCCTTTATTGCCAAAAAATCGGCCAATTCATATTTTATAATTTTGATATATCCAGTGTCACTCTCCCGGGGGAGAAGCCAACTCCTACCGGGCGCGTCCCCAGGTGGCGGATAGGGGAATGCCACCCGCTTAGGGCGGCGGGTGGTACCGGAGAAATCCGGCGCGGACCAAATGGCTTGGATGGGGCCGCTCGTCTAGGCCTCGAGCCGAAGACGTTGCGGCCACCGGTGGTGGGACCGCTTGGTCCCACAACCGGATGATGGGTGCCGGTTGCGGGACTGTGGTCGCAGGCCCGCATCCGGCGGAGGGGTAGGCCGCGGCGGGAGAGGAGTGCCGGTATTTCGGTGCGCCGTTCTCCCTACCTTCCGCGGCCTAGACGGGGCCGCCACCGTTTGATGGCGGACGCGGTGGGGCTGCAGGGGAAGAGGAGTGTCGGTGTTTCGTTGCCGCTCTCCCTGTCCTCTGCAGCCGATTGGAGGTGGCCCACTTCGGTGGGCGGTGGTTAGGTTTAATGGGGCTGCTCCGGGTACCTCTCTGGCGTAGCAGAGTTGACTGTGGAGCAGCCCCATCGGTTTGGTGGTCTGCCTAGCGTTTAGGCAGACCTGCCGCCGGGGCGCCGTAGTAGTTATGCGCAAGCGATCCTGCGGCGTCCCATTAAGGCGGAGGGGAGGGGAATGTCGGGTTTTAGTGGGTAGTACCGGCTCTTCTAGCCGGTGAGCCCCACATCACCACCTGGGGGATCAGGTGGTATGCGTAAATGCATTTCCCGACATAAAAAAAAAAAAAAAAAAAAAAAAAAAAAAAAAAAAAAAATCCAGTGTCACTCCCATAATTAAGACTAATCTAACAACACCTCTCTAGCTAAAATCCATCTAGCCATTTAGGCTACAGAGCGTGCCAGAGAAATAAACATACATATTACATACATATATTCGAAAAACAACCATCCTTCTGGCGCAGTCGAGTACAAATATTTCTAAGGTACTAAACTATAGTTTGTAAAATAATAAAATTATCATTAACTAAATAACTATAAAATAAAAAAATACAACTTAAGATTTTACGTTTACGCTTTTTTAATGCAGCCTTTTTTATTAGAGGTAAAAAATAAAGAAAAAAAATCTAATATGAAAATAAAAAAAACAATCAGTTATCTATAGAAAAAAAATCAATACAAACGCCCAATACACAAACATTTTCCCATCACTTTCTATCACTTACACAAACACAAAATTGTTATTTCATACAAAAATTAGCAATTTCAATTCAAAGAAATAATTTTATTTATCCAAAACAAAGTTAATCTTTCCAATAAACAACTTGATGCATATTATGTATGTTTGACTTCCAATCTCTACTGAATCACCAAGCACGGCCTTAAAACGATCTCAATATCGATTAAAAAAATGTCCTCATCGAATGAGCGCTCATTTGAGCATTTGAGCGCGATTTTAAATTTAAGAATCTTTTAGTAAAAACCAACGTTAAGTATTGTATTTAAGGTTGAATTTGCATTATTATATATTTATTTCAACTGGAATAATTACCTAAACACAATTGGTGACAGTTTTAAGAGAACTTTTGCATGGGATTGTGTATCTAGTAGGTACTTTTATGATCGATGGTAAAACCTTATAGAATTGTGATCCTTTACTTCAGTATTACTTAATAAATTAAAATAATCGGAATCTTTATATATATAATTCTTCTGTGAGTGTGTATGTCACTGAACTTCTCTCAAACGACTGGACCGATTTTGATGAAATTTTTTGTGTGTGTTCAAGGGGATCTGGGAATGGTTTAGATTCACAATTTGAATAATAATTTTCATCAAAATGGTCCAGAATGTTTTAGCTTATTAAAAAAAGTTTGAAATTTTCAAATTAAAGACGTGTAGACAGGACAACGTCTGTCGGGTCAGCTAGTACTCTTATAAATGCGAATGTATGTATGTGGTCTGTTACACCACCACCCAGGAATGCATGTTACGCTCCAAGTCCCTAGTCTATACTATAATAATATTATAAAGAGGTAAAGTTTGTGAGTTTGTGAGTTTGTGACGTTGTTAGGGGTAATCTCTGGATCTACTGAACCGATTTATATGAAATTTGGTAAGAAGATAGTTTGAAACCCTGGGGAGGATATAGGATACTTTTTATCCCGGAAATCATCCCTTAAGGGGGTGAAAATGGGGATGAAAGTTTGTATGGGGAATCAACCTAGAAACGAACCCGAGCGAAGCGCTAGTCATATTATAAACTGGCTTTCATCTATCTATATTCTATACTAATATTATAAAGAGAGGTTTGTATGTTTATCCCTAACGGGTGATATGGAGAACTAATGATCCTATTACCAAAATTTTTCCTTATGTCCTTGCATAGTTCTATAAAAAGACCGCTTTTTTTAACTTTTATATTTTAGCTTTTACTGAATAATGCTTTAATTAAACATAGGTACTTTCTTAATAATACAACATTTGCCCAAATAAAAAAAATATTTCATTATGACAAGGACTTAATCTATACATATAATAAAATTCTAACTGAGTCGAATCTGTACATTAAATATATTTTTTTTGGAAAATCTTATTAAAATAGTCATTATTATCGATTCAGATATCGAATCTATAGTTTTTCAGATTTTTGTCTGTCTGGGAACGTATCACAAGAAAACCACTGGATAGATTTCGATGAAATTCGGTATGATGATAGCTGGTTATCCGGGTCAACATATAGGATACTTTTTACTGCGGGAAAATATCTCATTTTTGAAAAATCTATACTAAACGTTATACGATAAAATTTGCTCTTTAGAGTAAGTAGGTGTGTATCGTATTCAAC